CTCTGTGTCGACCCCCTTTGAAAATTGGTATGATTTGAGATAATCTCCAATGTTTTGGTAGCGTTCTTTGACTTTGCGATAGTGAGAGCGGTGTTACCAAGATTAAAGCTGTTTCCCTCAGTGTAGCACAATAGACCATATACGGATCGAGAAAAGTAACCTTGTTTAAATGCTGAAGTTTCTGTTGCACCAAGCGAGCTCTCAGGTCCACTCCTGAGAAATTCCCATTTTCGCTTGTCGAAGAAAGACTGTACGACGGAATAAGCTTTTCCCAATTGAGACAAATTTATCGATAAACTTTCTCCGATACTGAGGTCTGTCTTCTCTTATTGCCTTTGTGCATTAGTTTCTTGTTTGTTTGAATTACCTGTATGTGATGTTGTTAACAGTTCGTTTATATTCCGCCCAGTAGTGCCTTTTGTGGCTTAGCAAACGAAGAGTGAGATTCTTGATAATCGTAGGCTGCTGTTAGCCTTTGGGGTCCATTTGTGGAACAGACAGTTCTGTAGCACATAAGACCATGTGCAGTAAGAAATTCTAATGAGCGTCCACATCAATGTGCAGGTGAACTTTCCAGTTCACCTGCTGTAGATTGTCGTGCAAGGCTGACGCGTTCAACCGTTTTCGACTCCCGTGCCTGTTGTTGGTAGGATACTTTAGGAAGATTAAAGTCTCCTAGAACCAGGATATGAGTGTATCAGAAAGAAGTAGAGGGGATAATCCTTCCAACATACGGTTATCAAACTCATTATCAGTATTGAACTTCCTGTAGATAACTCCAACTAGACACCTCGAGGTGTCAGACAGTCTCACGAAGTACCATACAGATTCATCAAGACTGGCAAGCCCTTAATTATACACCAGATGTGATGCTAAGCAGGATCGTAAATACAGGACAACTAGAATAAACTAGGCGTAACTTTATGTAAGGATCATGCTTTTTCCATTGATGAGCTGATTGATTAGTTGTTGCAGTGCATCCCTCTCTAACTGTTATGTTTGCATTTCACACATTTGGTCGGGGTCTGTTCTGACCGTATATAATATCGTAAGCCCTAAACATGAGTGAAAAACATCATGATCGCTATTTGTTGACGGTGGGCGAACATTTGGACAGGCATTGTACTCGATCTCACAGGTGAATACTAAATCTAACAAAGATCCTCGGTTTCTCCCGAAACGTATAAGTTTGGATGCAGGCTGTGCCTATGCATCCTCCAAAACCGTCGTCATCGAAAGAGTTTTCAGTTCCTATGGTGGTCATCTCTTTCCAACTAGTATCAATGCATTAAAACCTACTAACATCAATCATTTGCTGGTTTTACTCCAAAGCTGAATATATTCTAAAGTGCTGTCAGATAATCAAGTCGGGATGCAGTAGATGACACCGAGTAAAAATGTACAAACTTCAAAATTGAGTTCACAAGTTCCACTGTTGTGAGACTCAAACAAAGAGATGGGTGTTTATATTACTAACTACGTATACACGGACCCTTTCCTGAATCGATTCCAATCGCTTCTCAGGTAGTTGTATCTCGATAATTCTGTATTGACGACAAAGTTATGGATAAAACAAGTTTTGATCACGGCAACGACCAATGGCTCTAATTCCCCATCAATACTCCAAGTTCATGGAATTCGTTTACTCGACTACAAGCACTTGAACGACCTATCCATATAGACTATAGTAACATTCACTCTCAAGATCTAACTGCTATAATTAGATACTGCTGACTTAGGATTCTCTGATGAGCTGACTTCGTCACTTACTCGAAACTAAAGCCCTGTCACATTGTGTAAGCATTTAGTAGTAAGTGATATTTCGTCTAACACCTAATCGATGAAGATGTCATACGTATTCTTTGGGACAAGATGTTTTCTCACTAATCCGAATGCCATAGTTTCCTCGGGGAGTAATGTGTAGTTTGCAAGTCGACAAAATTACTCATCTCATTTCTTTGCTCAAGTCGACTGGCATATTCATGGGCTGTAACGGATTGTCGGGTCACCTTTAGATATGTTTGAAACAAGTGTAATTTGAGTGACTTCGAATTCACTGGATGTTAAATTGCCTATTGAAATCTACTAGTTGAAATCACAGTTTAGACATTTGCAACAAGCGGATTGAGCGGTTAATCTTTTGTTACTGCTCTTACATAAGATGCCTTATCTGAAACAACATTGCGAATGTTGCTAACATGCCCATAGTTAATTGATGCTCAGAATTATTCGAATCATTGTAGTAACTAGAAATTTCCAATAAAGTGCATTTTACAGCAAGTGGAACTAGATAAGCACAAATGAACGTATTAGATTTAGAGTTCAAAATTAGTGGTCAATCAAGTACAAAAGAATCATTGGTTATTATAAATACCACAGCATAAATGAGATTCCAAATTTCTGAAATCTATTGTAATTCTTTCCCTTAGGTTCATCGTGTGTATGTCGGATTGTATACTCTGTATGATTGAGGATATGTTCATTAGCATTAGAATGGGCAACCAAAATTGTATCAGACCCATCTGATTCCTTATAATCCATACATTTGTTGCAACTTGCTAATATATCAACCACAAATTTATCGCCCGGTTTCAACAGACTGTCCACAGATTGTGGAAAAACAGTTCTCTTACGAACATTCTTTTGTTCGAACAATTTCATTCTTGCTTCTTTTGAGTTGGGACTAGTAATTCTGAACTGATGAACTTTGTATGCTAACCTATCCGGATGTTTTAACTTTAAAGCAGTAATAGAATTGACATTTGTTTTCAAGGTTTTGAAATTTCTTGCTTGCACATAAGAATTAGGGGAATTTGGAGTCATGTGTAATTTTTCACACTTCAATCCCGTAGTTAACAGGTTGTCAGGCATTTCAATAGGACCATTTACAGTGGCCAATAAGGAAAGCTGACCGTGAAGCATTCTTAAATTTTCTAGGCCCAGGATGAATGTTTCGCAATCAGTCATGATAAATCCACAATTAAGAATTGAATATTTATCATCTATGCTTAACAAATTACAGCATCCGGCAATAGAAAGTTTATGACCAGCGATACTCGAGATGGAAAATTTGGTAGGCATAATTACAGCATCGGAATTTGTTGACTTCGACTCCGCAACCAAAATAATGGGTTTAATACTGCCAGTGTCAACAATAAAATTGTGAGAAGCACCATTGATCTGACATACAATCGTTTTTAAACCTGAAATGAATTATTTGGTGTTGTAAATGAACGTGTTAGATTTAAAATTCAAAATCAGTGGTCAGTCAAGTACCAAAGAATCGTTAGTCAGAACAAATAGTACAAGTGATCATTTTAGTCGCAAACTCTACCCCGGGTTATTGTGGGTTATCGGATCATACATCTGGAAATGTAATAAACATTCATTCCTCTAAGATAGTCCTCACTGGTAGGAGCAACACACTAACGGTATAAATCCCACTGATCAGTAAAGTATTCTACAATTAAGTACTACAAACCTTCGTTGAGTGTTTAATATTAAGAAACGATGTCGTATTTTGAAATATCTACTGCGACGTTCGTATGCCTGTGTTTTCTATCAAAATAGGAATCACATATCTTGAATTAAGATAACTACAACCAACACTTAAAAAGAGCCTAACCTTAGTAGTGGAAGTAGGGTGAAATTACTAAGCGGCAAACATTGGTAGTGAGGACATCGGTTTCAATCCATCCATGTTTGTGAGGTCGATCACTCTATCTGTCTCATGTTCCTTATCATTGGAGACGAGATAACCACGAAGTCCACCTACTGCATGTTATCTCAGACGTTAAAAAAACTGAGCAATGTTTTTCAATTACGAAACGATTCCAATCATCAATGTTCTCCCTACTTTTTTGTTGGGATTAAGAACAAGACAATTGACTGATACAAGCAGTAAAGAAACGGTGAATAACCAGATATGTTGTTGAGACTCAACGGAATCTGCAAAAGTCCCAATTTTAATTTCGGCAGCAATATCGAAAAATTGGCAGTAGTTCACTGACCAGCTTATATAACGTGACCAAGACTGCTTATGCGAATTCAAAGAAAATAGCTGAGTAATGAAAATCATACTCATTCACGCGTAACACTGACACTACTTCTAATTCGTTTGTGGTGAACATGTAAGTAGTAACCAGAGCTTTTGTACAAAGGCCAGCAAAAGTAAACGCAGTTCAGCCAAATAAAGACCATTAATTTCAAGACTTATCTCATTCCGTACCATGTTTACTTTGTTATACAAGGCTTCTAAGGTCGAAATAGCAAACTAACCCTTAGATCGTTGACTACTGCCACTATATAGATATAAACAGCGAATTAACAGCGTCACTCGGAAATTTCCCTTTTTAGCTTGAAGTCTTTGAATGTACATTCTGAACATATTCATAATAAGTTTTAGACAGTAAGAGAAAAAACATTTTTTGTAGGAAGTCATTTAGTATCTTTTGCATATAATCGAGTGGGCGTATAAGTGAAAGAGATAAAAAACCCCAGACACTCAAATAATATAATATCAACACATTTTTTCTCCTTGATTATGAAATTAAATTAACTTTCTCTGAACCCTAAAAATGAGAAAATTTGATGTGGGTATAATCTGGCCGAATCGATAGTTAACAACAGAACTTTGAAATATAATTGAAGTAAACATGAGAGACGACGCTTAATGAAAGCTTCAAACTATATAGATGACTGTTAATGTATCGAGAGGCGCTTTTGTTATAGTGTGTCGCGGTGTAAGGTTGGCTTCAAAACCGCACAGTTTGGTTGGACGTTCAGTAACATACGGTAACAATACTGTGAGATAGGAGTTAACTTCGATTTAAAATTACCGATTTATTGACTGGTTTGACCATTACCCTTAATTTGACAGTTAAAATTATTGAGAATCTAATTGTGTGGATAATTTATACGCATCTCATCGTTGGATCTACTCCAGCGGCCATTCCAACCAACTGATCGAGTCGCGCACCACAGTTCAAATATCAGGTGGTATGAATACTGGTGCTAGTTTTTTATCAATTTTAGTTATACTTATAGTTGTTTCGATTCCAAGCCACGAGATAGAATTTGTTGATGAACCAAATGATAGTTATGGGCTAGAGAACCAGCAAATCACACTTGTTTGTTCAGCTGTAGGGTCTCCAAATATCACGATTACATGGCATAAACTAGACAATATTTCTTTTGCAAGCGGTTCCACTAAAGTGGCTGGAGATAGCGTATATTCTTCATATGGGTTTACTCTTGTTAGTGAAAATGAGGGTGATTATTACTGCAATGCATCGGATTCCCTTCACTGGATTCAGTCCAAGAAAGCAAGTGTCCGAATTTCATTCCTTAACGAAAAGTTTAAATTAGAGCCTCAAAGCAAAGTGGCAAATATTGGTGATACAGTTTTATTGGAATGTATTCCTCCTTTTGGGCTACCCAGTCCTACTATTGAGTGGCTAAAAGAAAACTCTTCTCTGTTACCCAACAATCGAATACAGATTATGGATGTTGGAAATTTGAGGATCGATAGGATAACGTGGCAAGACTCTGGCTACTATACTTGCGTAGCCAAATCTTTTGCTTACCGCAGGGAAAGTTCCAAGGCCTATCTTACTGTTCGGCAGCGTCCATACTTTATTGTCTCACCTAAAAGTCAATCAGTGCCAGTGCATAGTGTATTTGAACTGAGTTGTCGTGCTGCTGGGGAGCCCTCCCCTGTCGTTGTTTGGCGCAGAGAACCTTCAGTCCCCAGTATTCCATACTCACGTGTTCGGCTGCTTCTAGGTGGAACACTTCGTTTTGTAAGTGTTCAGTCTGATGACTCTGGATATTATATTTGTCGGGCAGTTAGTTCGACAGGGATTGTTGAAGCAGTCGCCTACATAAATGTTGTTACACCTCCAGGTTTGGTTGTCACGCCTCCTAGTAAAATATACGCATATGAAGGCAACCGGGTTGAGTTGTTTTGTAGTGTGACAGGCTCCCCATCCCCAGATGTTCGTTGGTTGCAGTGGTCAACTAAAACATATTTCATCCCAACTGTATCTGTATCCGAGAGGATTTACGTCACGAGTTCTGGGAATCTTATTATACTTACTGCCAGGCCGGGAGATGCTTCTACGTATGAATGCCGCGCTTCGTCTCCTGCTGGTTTTACTAGGAGCCTGACGGATATTCAAGTTCTGTTTAATCCCAAATTAATTCCAGGTCGTGTGGGTGCTGTCTCAACTCCTCATATTTTTGGTAAAAGTTTCCGCAGTCCAACAGCAGTACGAGTACTTTGTGGCATTCCGTTGGATCCTGTATTCAATTATTCACATGGAACTCAGTCTATTTCTAAAGAACCCGAACTTAGCGCGAAATCGGACATAATATGGCTTAACAATGGTGAATTCATTCATAAACCAAGTTCATCAAACTCTCGGATTTCAATCGAGGCAGATGGCTCTTTACTACTTTATCCATTTCGACCACATGATGCAGGAAACTACACTTGTTCCGTCTACCGAAAAGTAAGCCATCGGTTCGCACAGTACTCTTTTACTATAAGCTTAAAAGAGCATAATGATTCAATATATCAACCTCGTACGTATTCCCAGTTACCTTCACCTCCAGAAAATGCAAGAATTGTTAGTGTTGGTGACACGTGGGTAGTTTTAAAATGGTCTGACAACAATTCTTCTGAGTCAACCAGCTATAAAGTTTACGTTTTACCGCAGATTCATTCTCAGAAAACAGTTCACTCAGATCGACATTTTCAGGACCTAAAGCAGACTAAGACTACCAGTGATCATATGAAGTCAGATGAAACACAGATGCCTAGTAGTAAACCCTTTAAACTGGATACCTGGTTCACTGCAGTTGAAAAAACTTACCATACCCAAGTCCGTATAACAGGCCTATTACCTGATACCGGATACTGGGTTGAAGTTAGAAAAGTTAATAGTTTCGGAATGAGTTCAGGAGCTCTAGTACCTTATATAGTGTATACTGTAAAAAAGCCTTCTGAAATTATATTTTCACATGTTTCAAAGAGTAATAGGACAGTTTCTGATTTGGTAATCAAGCATCCTAATTCGTTTTTTGCTGGTGGTCAAACAGCTGTTGATTTTCAGGAGCTGGTTTCAACATTCCAGTCCATAGATTTACATCGCATATCAATCCGACCCCTCACGTCTTCCGAACTTTTGGTTAGCTGGGCTGCACGGTCTTCTAATGAAGTGCTCAAGCGTATTGATGGTTTCAAAATAAACGTGCGATCAGTTCCAATGTCACGTTGCATAGCTGCTGTTACATCTAAACCACCAAGCTATTCGTCTGCCTTTCGCGAAAACATTGGAGATTCAGGATCGTTGGATATTTATGATACCAGTCATGAGGATTTTTCATTTACTAGTTCAGTTCACTGTTCTTTCACATCCCCTAAGCTTCTCGAACAAACAGTTTTAATGGCTAATGCAGTGAGTGATAAAGATGTAATATATGTTGGGACCTCAGATCACTCATTTCAAAACATAATCATCATGAAGACTGTATCTCGCGATCAGCCGGTTGCTAAGGCTGTTATCGGTGATCTGTCACCTTTCAGTTGCTATGAGACGGATATTGAAGCCTTCAAGGACGATCCAACATACGGTCGTATTCTAAGCAGATCTAGTCGATCTGAATTGGCTTTGACTCTCGATGCACCACCCAGCTCCTCGCCAGAATTAATAAGCGCTGAATGGCTTCTTCACATTAGTCCGTTAAATCCCGAACAAATAACAGGAGGTCAGAAAATCAACTCTTCCACATATCCATCTGAAAGTATTCGATTATCATGGAAACCACTTGAGTTAAAAATGGCTCATGGTGCACTTTTAGGATATGCAGTACATATCCTGGCGAACAAAAGTCAGTTCAGTCGTTCTCTTCATGTAAGTCTTTTTTATCTGGTAAATTTGTGTACGATCTTAGTCTTGTATTTCAATGTTCAGGAATTTTCTAGTCAAATCTTCATTATCATTTTTTAATTTTGCTTTTAACGGTTACAACTTGGACCGTTTGTGTTTTCTGAGTACTTTTACCTTGTATATGTTTTTCTATACTCGTTCGCATAATCTTAACTGTTTTGGAACCACATCACAAGAGTGTCTTCAATCCTGTCCCAGGAAGTCTACAATCCTTTCCACCACAGGTACCATCAATCATAAAGATTACGGGTCTAAATTAGTCTGGCCACTGAATTTTCTTTCATATTATTTTCATCCCGGAAATTCTGCAAGTTTAAGTGGAAAGAAGTTCAGTATAATTATTAGATATCTTGGGAAGTTGAGGTTTATGATGTGATCTTCGTTAACACATTTAACAATTTGCGTCTAATATAAACATTTCTCACTTGGAATTTTTCCAAAACTTGTAACTACTCATGATAAAAGTAACTTACCATAGTAAAAATAGTAACTGGATATTGCTGCACAATTTATTGGTTACAGTAAATATACAAATATTTTATACATGTTGTGGGTAACTTATGCTGAGACCTGAACTCTTGTTTATGTTTTAGTTACTGTAAGTCTCACTTGCATTTTCACAGGATGAGGGTAGTTATTAATCTTGAATGCTACTATGGGATCACGGCATATGTAACTTAGTGATTAAGACATCTGATTTTAAACTATTAGATTTCGAGCTGGAAACGCCCTAACTAATTCATTTTGAGTAGCCACTACATTATACAAAAATATCCCCCAAAAAGTACACAAACATGTTTTTAGGTTTTGACTCACGATAATAATGAAATGAAAGTACCAGAATGGATCACAGTAATTAGATTGAACTGAGATAATGCCGTATTAATTTGCTTTGTAATATTGTCTTACTGAGACTTATCTGTTAATTACTGAAATCCATATTGATTGATCACTGGGTGGTGATCAATGTCATGCTTGTCTAGTCCTTATTAGTGCAGATCGAATGCTATCGATTATGTTGCAATGTGGCCAACAGTCTAGGTGACTCGACACTGCGGGCACTATGTATTGAGATTTAGATGGTGGTTGGAGGTAGTCAACAGGAAACCCTGGACCCGGGTTTCGTGCTACTTGGCACTCGTCAGCAAGGTGTACCTGTAATCTTGAGGGAACTGATGCTCCCTCAAGATTACACTGCACTAATAAGGACTAGACAAGCATGAGATTGATCACCACCCAGTGATCAATCATTTGTGATTCCATCTCAGTCCTACAGGAGGTTAGTCACGGCTCGGATAGCTCAGTGGTAACGTCTCTGACTGTGAAGCTGGGTGACACGAGATCGAATCCGCCAGGGAGCATCAGTTCCCTCAAGATTACAGGCACACCTTGCTGACGAGTGCCAAGTAGCACGAAACCCGGGTCCAGGGTTTCCTGTTGACTACCTCCAACCACCATCTAAATCTCAATACATAGTGCCCGCAGTGTCGAGTCACCTAGACTGTTGGCCACATTGCAACATGATCGATAGCATTCGATCTGCACTCAGTCAGTCAGTCAGTCAGTAACAACGTAGAACTTCGTACGTACGTACATCAGTTCGAGTTGCCACACCACATTAGCACAGAGATGCACTTGTCGATTCAAATCCCGTAGTGATAGAGGTAATAAGAGTATAACCAGTAATCGGGAAGATTAGGGTTTGGAGATGTTATTTAAAGAGTATAATCCAGTGAAATAAATTTGGAAAGAGGAAAAAAGGGACATGAAGAATTCAGAAGGTTAGAGTTTGGGAGAACACAGAGAGTGGATGCACCTGCGCCATTGCAAACGATTTTGAGCCATGTCATTCAGGGTCTCTAACCATCGGTTGCTGTCATCTCGCGGTCCCCAACCAGGTAGTCTACACCTGCCAACATGACTCAGTCCACTTGTCAGTGACTTCATGGACTTGTGCCATGTTTTGGTTTGGCCGCCTCTAGCTTTCTTCCAACCTACTCCTATACCACTGAACATAGCACGTCTAGGCAGTCGGTCGTTGGGCATACGTAACACGTGTCCCAGCCATCTCAACTGATGAAGTTTCACTACTTCATCAATTGATTTGCCATCCTTACCTAGTACCCGTTTCCTAACAACTGCGTTACTTACTCGATGGTCCCGTGATATACGAGCAATGTTTCGAAGACACCTATGATCAAATACTAGTAACCTAGAAATATCCTCTACTCTTACCGGCCATGTTTCACTGCCATAAAGTAGGACGGAACGAACTGCTGCGCAGTAAACACGTCCTTTGGTTGATAGACGGATATCTCGCCTACGCCATAAATGACGCAAGTTGGCAAAAGCTAGTCGAGCCTTCTGTATCCGTGCTGAGATTTCGTCACACACCAAACCACAAGGGCTGATGAGACTTCCAAGATAAGTGAAGCGGTCGACACACTCAACTACTTCACTCCCTATCACTAGTTCGGGTGTCGATGTAACCCAATCCTGAAGCAACATTTTGCATTTCGAGGGGGAGAATCGCATCCCGAACATGCTTGCATTGTTGCTTAGAGTGGTCAGAAGACTCTGCATTTTGTCAGCGTCTTCACCAAATAAAACTATGTCATCTGCATATTCTAAGTCAACAAGTGAACCTCCTGGTAGAAGTTCAACCCCTGTAAATTTAGATAAGGAGAGTGTTATCTCTAAAAGTACGTCAATGACAAAGTTGAACAAGAATGGGGAGAGTGGACAGCCCTGACGAACACCACTTGAGGCGATCTGCACTAATAAGGACTAGACAAGCATGACATTGATCACCACCCAGTGATCAATCATTTGTGATTCCATCTCAGTCCTACAGGAGGTTAGTCACGGCTCGGATAGCTCAGTGGTAACGTCTCTGACTGTGAAGCTGGGTGACACGAGATCGAATCCGCCAGGGAGCATCAGTTCCCTCAAGATTACAGGTACACCTTGCTGACGAGTGCCAAGTAGCACGAAACCCGGGTCCAGGGTTTCCTGTTGACTACCTCCAACCACCATCTAAATCTCAATACTGAAATCCATATCAACTTAGGCGAAAATCCTCATACACTGTCCTATAGTGTTTTCCAATTGATTCCATAATATTCAGTACCTGGCAGGCTTGTTTTTATACTTTCTTTTTATTTCCCGGATATCGATTTATTCTAGGCAAGCTAACGTAACCTCACTGTGTCCGTATAGTTTCGTAGGTAGACTTAATTCGAATTCCTATCAATAACCGTGCACGTGTCAATCTAATATCCACATCTGTTGTGTTATAGCCAATTATATTAATTGGTAGCCCGAATTCGGGTAAACAGTGCTGTTTTAATTTCATGACCGAAGGATTATATTTCGTATTCCTTAACTAACCAGAGATTGGGTTTGTGAGGGACTACTTATCAAAGTGGCTTAGTCCGGGACCGCAAAAAATTGTTTTCCATCTTCGAATGAAGTAACATAGCACTAGATTTTACTTATTTAATTTCTGTAGCGTTGAATATAAAATTATGGAATATAGATATTCAATTATCAGTGGTTTTATTCAGTATAATATCTTCTAAACGATGATCTTGGTAAATAAATAAAAAACTTCGTTGTTGAAAGTGGTTCTTCTGCGATTTTCAGGTATCTGCAGACATCCATTCAAAAAATATTCATGGCCTAAATCCGTTCGTCGATTATATCATTTATATTTCTGGGATAAACTGCAAAGGAGAGGGAGTACGTAGTTCTGGATATCATCTTCGATCTATTGCCGCTGGGTTGCATAATCCTATTAAGTCTTCTGATTATGAATTAAATTATTTAGAACATTTTGATTTCCCTGTGTGGGGTTATATTTTACTTTTTGGGTTTGTCGTCTTCTGGATTTTGTTTGGCTTATTTATTCACTTTGTCGTCCGTCAAACTTCAAGAAAGCAGTGTTTAAAATCTTCAGCCAAGTATTTCGTTGCTAATGGTTCCAACATAGATGCGCAGCATCAGAAAACCTTTCGGAGAAATATTCTACATGGAATAAGTTTCGGAATGTGCTGTACCTCGTTAAATTTCCAAAAAAACAAGTCAGAAAGTCACTCCATTGTTGATAGAAACTTGGGCACCGTCTTACTGAGTAGTGAGCAACAAGAGGTGGAAACGGGACATCTACTCCATCATTTGAACCCATCTCAATCTAAGTTACTTAATGACAAACCTGTTTCTGAACACAAATTAATGACTTTACGTTCTGCCTCTGGCAAAAACGAAGCAACTCCTACAGAATGTACACATGCAGCATCACCGCTGTTTGAGTACTTAACTGGCAATGAAGACGTTGAGGTGTATGCTATCAGTGATCCTTCTGTGTGTTCTAATAACCTTAGTTACTTGCCTTCAGGTGTATTGAAGATGACTACAACATCCGGTAGCAATGCAACTATCTTAAGCCAAAATGGATTAACTGAAGAAAATATGTCGAATCAAAGTAACCCAATTAGCAGACCGAAATTGCCAGATTCAATAAATATACCATTCCCAGTACCTCCGATTTGTCACTCAAATTTATGTACACCGAAACTTGCATACCAAAGCAACTCTTTACATTTACTGTCACTGCCAGATCGTTATGCGTCAAACCAATTAGACGAATCTATTGATCCACAGAAGTTCACTTCAGAGGATACTGTACCCGCGTATGCAAGTTGTTCAGTATTTAATATTCACAAAACGGAAGTCATCGATCATTGTAATCAACACAGTGGAACACCAAGTGTTGTACTGATGCGCAACAATAGTAACTTGTGCACGAAATTAAAAGTTAGTTCTATAGAAATTTCGCGTTTCTATTTTAACAGATCGAAGTTTATTTTTTCGTTTATTTCTTATGTATTTGTCTGACTAAGCGTCAAAATATTTTAATGCAAATTATGGGTTTACATATTTAGCTTCCAGCTATGCTGTTTGTATGGAAGCCAGCTGCACTAATCAGGTGCCTAAACTGAAATAAGTAGAGCGGAGTTTAAATGTGCAACCTATTGGTTAAGAGCTGAAAGCTCTAGCCCATAAGCTACCACTCCAAAAGGCACTTGCCTGAAGAGAGCGAGCGGATATTTTAAGAGACAAAACCCCATATCTAGGTTATTTTGGATTTAGTTTAAAGAAGTTCTCGACCGATGAAATTTATGGATGAATACGAATTCAAGTGAATAATGAACTATTTTTTGATGGATTCATATAAAGTGATATATTCGAGCAAATGTTTTCATGGGCCGCTTCGACTTTACAGTCCAGTATGATTATCCCCCTATTCGGAATCTGATAAAATTAATTATTATGTTGTCGAAGTTCATTTTTTACTTTCATTTCAAAGTATTTTATCGAAGTTAAGTTTTTGTGGCTTTGCGACTTACATACTAATTCTCTTCGTGATATGTGGCTATACATCTTATAGTTTATAATAATGTGATCTAATAATTTAAACTGGAGGTTGCTTAATTCCGTTCCAACTCTCTATACTAGTATTTAAATAAATCAGTATTATTTTTCATTGGGCAAGTAACTTGGATTATTTTTGATAACTAAAATAACGTGTTTTTTTGGATCATATCACTTGGTAATGATCGGATTAGATTTTCTTCCTTATAGACGTTGGATTTTCATTTACAAATAAACTTTAGTGAACATTATGTGTAAAAATTACTAGCTTTGATGCAAATCTAATCCGAACATGAAATCAAAATGTCATAATTTTGTTATTTTTGTGATATTCAGCACAATTATATGCAAATCAACAAAGGGGACGTGAAATACCGTTAGTGTACTTATATTCTATCCATTTTTCAGCATATATTTACCAGTAAATATAGGGTCTTTAGCCTGAGTACTTTTTGGTCAGCATGAACTCCTTAGATTTAGCCCCCTTGTTCCTGTGCATTCTGATCATACATTACTAAGGTTGTTTGTATCAGTGGTTAGGTTAAAAAGTGAGTTGGCCTATTCAATGTCTCATTATTATTGAGGTATTACTGGAGTTGTATCTTGGCCTGCCAATTATTATTAGATAACAAATAAATGAGGTTGCATTAATTTAGGTTTAGATTTTTACTTACATCTTGAAGTAGCAAAATCATCTCTCTTATGTAACGTCAGCTATTGTGTTGGAGTTAGCAGCCCATGAAAAACTAAAATAAGACTTGAGCTAGTAATCTAACAACTTGGAGTTATGTACCATTGGGATAAAGTCTTAAGGAAGTATTTTGAGTTTCATGTCCGTGATTACTGCGTGAATACTGAATCTCCATAATTTTTGATTACATTTTCGTCACTGTGATTTCCAGTTTTCTTTTTAGGGGAAATATGTAGAGTTCTTATTTACACAAATAATAGTTATTTTGCTATAGTAAATATAAACTGGGTACCGTATTGATTAAAATGGCTTAGTCAGGTTTCTCTCATTGCGCATATATAAATATATATGCGCATATTTATTCCTATTATCACTTTCACATAAAACTGATTATTGAAATTAAAATGTAAGTCGTCCAAATCACTTTATACAAGAACATACTCGTTTTTACGTATGTTTATCACTATAAAGTTTTATGGTTATTGGATACTGTTTACAAATTAGTCAGTGTAAAATAAGGTATTGTACACTATTTTCTCGGTATATTTTATCATCTAAGTGTGTAGCTTGTTCAAGGATGTTACCTTACAATACACAAGCTGAATGATTTTCCTAGGCTCTCATAATCCTCTTAAAGTCTTAGTTGCTAGAGATAAATAATGTATTACGTTCTCAGTTACACTTTGTATTAGCGCTAATGGTATTACTTTACTACCTAAAATAAAGTATGTGCAATTGAACTTGAATCTGTCACACAGTGTCTGAAAGTCAAGCACTTTAACTAGCAAGCTACAAATTCACCTCTGGTAGTAGTAACCATAAACTTCTATTTTGTTAAAATGTAGATATCTCAAAAGTATAGCATTTTTTGAATCACAGCATATAAAGCACTGTGTGTCCTAGTGGTTACTATGTTTTTTTTCAATAATTATTTAATCAAAACGTAAAACTTAGTGGAAATTAATAACCCTTTTAACAATAAGATTGTTGTGACTAGTTTAGCAAACAATGCCTTAGAGTTCATAGTGTAGTGCATTAGTTGTATGCCTTAATGAAAAAATCGGAAAGGACAAAATGTCCATCCTCTATTTCAATGATTTCTTAAAAATCAAAAACCAATGTTGCTTGCTGGTTTATTGAAAAAATGAGGTTGTTAGCTCGTTATATAATTCTTATAGTAATTAAGGTTGTCATGTAAACGAACCAGTCAACTTAACGTGTACATTGTTTCCTTCCAAAAACGCCTTCAATGTGATATATCTATTTCTATCTTTCTATCTACACATTTGGTATAGTTTCCCAGTGTTAAAAATAATTAATTTACTGACCTTAAAAGTAAACTTTTACACATTTTCATCACTTCAGGTGTTATGACTTTTTTGGAAACTATCGAGTTGATGTGAGTGGGATGTAGAAAATAGACTGATTTATATTCAAGACGTTTTTATAAACTTCCATATTATCTCCTATTCTCTCTGTCCTTATTTTGTTTTTACCTTTAAAGTGTAAATTTTTTGTTTATGTGTTTGTCATGGAATAGCGTATTCTACAAATAAAGGCAGTTAAAAACCAAACCTTCGTAAGTTATCTAACGCAGTATTAAATGAGTAATCACCTATAGAAAAACCTTCCCTATCTGATGAAGCTTTTTAATAATGCAAACTATTTTCGACTTTTTCTAGTTTCTTTTAGAGGCCACAATTCAATTATAATTAGTTAAAGATTTTTAGAGTAAAGCCAAAACCCATATGGTACATTTCTCTCTTAGTTTATGGGTTTCCAGTGTACTAAAAGGTAGATCAAAAGTTAGGCAATTTCTTTTAGATCATTTAATGTTGATCCCAACATTCCATATTGTTTGACTTTTACTGGTTGTTCTTTAAACCCTTTCCCGAAAAAATGAAATAACTCACCTAGGTATAGACCGGTTTATTGACAAGGCAATATTAGTAGGATTATGACAGAAAAAATAAGGTGTTCCAAATGCCTTAATGTATTAACTTTAGATACAGTTTCTTGATGCTTTAATGAATTTGAGAGTTTTGATTCATTTCTCACGATGTTGTTAATTCGCACAGAAATATTTGATACTTGAAGTTAGTTTTCATGGACGTTTCTGTAGTCATTAGCTTTTTAACTTCATGATTGACGGGAAATAATCATAAACAAAATTTTCCTACATTTTATCTCTTAATTCTGACAGCTTGATGTTGAAAATCTTGAGAAAATTGTTTTTCTGTAGTTTTCCATAAACTAGAGGTCCAAATCGTGTTAAGGATGACTCAAGAACTAATATGTTCATAAAAGCCATTCAAATAATCTTTTTATGTTCCATGGTTTCAATAGAACTTCATAAAACAACTTTTGGAATATAGACGCCAGAATAATTGGTTTTCTTATTTCTGGATTCTACCGTGATTCCAAGAAAGTCTAGGAAACATTATCAGCTAATTAATTCAGTCCTGTGGCTTGATTACTAGAGATTGGATGCTTTAGAAACAACTGGTTTTTGGTGTACCAGAAGCGCCTGTCATTAACTCATTAGTCTGATCGATAGCACTGGTTACGAGCGTTAGACGTTGAATTCCAGGGTCATTATAGGTCCCGGAAGTGTACGATGCATGCACATCTAGTTGGTGAGTCATATTTAAAAGACGACTTATCTCATTTCCTTGGTTGGTTAGGTTACCACAGTTTTTCTTAGTCCTATCTCATCGTTATCTTATTCCAACAGAGGAAATATATAGACTGTACGCAAGTAGCTAACCTCTGATGTTTTTCCTCTATTGATTTGTAACTAATAGTATTTGATTATGGCATTCTTATCTGTTTCTTGACTTACTCCATATTCTTGTATGTAGTTTAACTTTTTATATTGTTGATACTATGCCTTGGGTGGGCTTATTATACAATAACAACAATGAATAATTGAGCAAATCTACTTATTCCTGTATGATTCATATTCAATTAGTAAAACGCCCGGAAATAGGTTTGTTTCACATGCTCTTTTTGTTGCCCTTGTTTCAGTGCCATTATTTGGTTAGGCTGATAAGTTAATCATTGGTGAAATACAAGAAAAACCAGACTTTATAGCTAATACTTAAAATAATTCTAGATGCATATAATTCTGTGTCGTTACGACAGACAGAATATTCGGCGCGGTAATAAGGAAGAACCATAATTATAAGAGGTATGTAATAATTCGATTTTTTTGTCTTTGCTTTTTTTTCATGATGAATAAATTATAAGAATTTTCTGTTTATAATGCACCATGAAATGAAAACAGCTATCACCAGGTGAATAAAAGTCGTTTGGCTATGTTGATCGTGAGGTTCTATGGCAGTGTTTGTCACTGAAAAGAGTACCAAAGAAGTACATTACCTTGTAAAGACTCTCTACTCGAACACAACTGGCAGTGTGAGGGCTTATGGCGAACTGTCATCAGAGTTGATTACCTCAAGTGGTGTTGGTCAGGGCTGTTCACTCTCTCTATTCTTGTTTAACTTGGTTGTTGACGTGCTTTTAGTGATAACACTTTCCTCATCCAAATTTCCAAGAGTTGGAATTTTACCGGGAGATCCACTTGTTGACTTAGAATATGCCGATGACATAGTTCTATTTTGTGAAGACGCTGACAAAATGCAGTATTCTGACCACTATAAGCAACTATGCAAGCATGTTCGGGATGCGATTCTCCCCTTCGAAATGCAAAATGTTGCTTCAGGACTGGGTTGCGCCGACACCTGAACTAATGATAGGGAGTGAAGTAGTTGAGCATGTCGACCGCTTCACTTATCTTGGAAGTCTCATCAGCCCTTGTGGCCTGGTGTGTGACGAAATCTCAGCACGAATACAGAAGGCTCGACTAGCTTTTGCCGACTTGCGTCATTTATGATGTAGGTGAGGGGTTCGTAGGGTTCGTTCCGTCCTACTTTATGGCAGTGAAACATGGCCGGTAAGAGTAGAGGATATTTCTAGGTTACTAGTATTTGATCATAGGTGTCTTCGAAACACTGCTCGTATTTCCTGGGACCACCGAGTAGGTAACACAGTTGTTAGAAAACGGGTACTAGGTAAGGATGGCAAATCCATTGATGAAGTAGTGAAACTTCATCAGTTGAGATGGCTGGGACACGTGTTACGTATGCCCAACGACCGACTGCCTCGACGTGCTATGTTCAGTGGTATAGGAGTAGGTTTTATTTATATTTACTTGTTAATCATTAGTTTCCACGTTGTATCTAATTGCACCCCGTTTCCTCTACTTGGATTGTTTGGGTTCGGCCATATTTTTAGGGTTTCAGCTGTCAGTTTTTCCTTATAAAAACCAAAACTTTTTCCAGCGAATTTGATTCTGTCGCATTCAATTTCGTGTCCTACTTCTGATTGACGTAGTTTTATCGGGGATCTATTTTTATGTTGGGAACATGTCTTAAATAATATTTGGCATGTTGATGGGACATTTAGTTGAATATTTAAATGTGAATGAATCGTGAATTTCCACCATAGATTGTTTAAAACTTTAGAACTCATATCCGTTCATAAAAAAGGTACATACTTCATTCTTATTTCAGGTTGAACTTCTTGATTTAATTGTTAGAACGATTTCCGAACATTTGTTTAGGGAAAAATCACATTAAATGTTTGGTTTTCCTCGGAAAATTCGATTAGTTAGTTAGTGGCTAAACTAATACTAGTCCAATCTTTTTTGTCTATTGTTCATTTAATGTTGATGAATCAGAAGTATTCAATTTATAATATTCTTTTTTTGTAATATATTATGCAGTCTTTGCTAATGTGTAAATTTAAAAACCAGTGAAGTTAGTTCATAAATATATTGAATTTTATTATTCGAGAATTATAGTAAGTAGAATAGGCTCATAAAGTGTAAACACCAAAATCCTAAGATTGTAGGCAAACTACACTAAGTGTTAAGTCAATTTTCATTTATTTTAGATTATCTTAACCAGTAATATTTGTTGTTTAATGTCCTACAAGGTTTCCGAAACTAAATTTTTAAAAAATAGGTTGGTTTAATCGACTGTGTAGATTATTAAATCGTTTTGTATTTATCAAAAATGACTATAGAGTCTAACCGGTGAAATCTAAACATTTTATCAATGGGGTAATTCACGTAAGTTGGCAGTAGTTTAATAATATATGTAATGTATTGGACAAAATGTTGATATTACTGATGGTATGGCTGTTTGTTATGACTGTGAAGTATATTATTATTTTCTATTTGTTTAACTGAACAACATTTATGGGGAGAAACATACAGGACCGTAGATAAAGATCTACTCATGTAGCAACCAATGATTTAGTCGATATTAAAGTGCACAATAAAATGTATATCTTCTTAAATATCTGTTCAATAGGTAAATTCAGATGTATTCAATTGGCAGTAGTTAACATTCATCAGTCTATAGTTCAATATATGTTCGTAATTTTCAAAATCAAAATAGATTAACATCTTTAACTAACAAATATACTTTCTCCTCATAGTATAGTGTTTATAATTTACCTGGTTTGATGATTATTTACTTTCTCTTATATGTTTATTCCTCTCTTACAGAACTCTAATCGAAATAATTTTGTTGCGAATTCATTCAATCTAGGCGATAATTTGAAATCTGCAGAATTTCTAGCATCTGTAAATGGCAGTCATTTACCATTGTCTAATGATTTCCATAATGCTGCTTCTTGTAGTTGGCAATTTATTCCACATAACATCAATGGTTCAGTAATTCGAGAGGAGCACAAACCAGAAAATGTTATTCCTCCTCCACCTGAATATCCACCACCGCCTTTACCGTCGGCTTCAACAAAATTATGCGGTCTTCCTAATTTATGGATTCCGAATTCCGAATCAGGTGGTGACCTACATAGACCACTTGAATTAAAAGAGCATCAATTACGTTTTGTTTCCGACGATAGTAGTCTACCAAGTGGTGGAAGTGAGTATACATTATATTATTTCGCTTTGTGTTTTTAGTTTATCTTCTACTATTGACTGTTCGAAAGTATTTTTGTATGTATCTCAGTGGATGTATAGGAAGCTATGAAAATGCGACTTTTTTATTCAGAAAGTATGATGATGTGAAATTGCACTGTATTTGCTAATACCACATCGAAGGTCTTGGGTTCGATTCCCGCTTGTTGGGATTGTGGATCTGCACTTCTGAGGAGACCCATTCTGGAAGAAATGGCCATTCAGTTCTAAGTTTTAACAGTTTTTCAACTTTGGTCGGTTCTTGATTTCTATGAAATTCAACAGTCTCTACAACCCTATGCTGACATGGTGTTTTAATTGAATTATCATAACATTAAGTATTTATCAAAATATTTGACAAGTACACCTAATTATATTTCGCTATTCGTAATCCACTAATTGTTTTTTCCGAATTCTTGAATTAATTCATAGTTTTGACCAGTTTGAACAAACTGTCTTATAGCTTCGAAATCTAAGGAACGATAAAGGTGACCTTGAGGCAGAGTTCGATACTTTCCGTCGATGAATGAATAGCTGGTCTAAATCAAATGACGTAGTAATCTAGAAAAGTAATAAAACCTAAATAATTATAGAGTTTTCACAGAGTTTATGAATTTTTGATGACTTGTAGTCAGTTTTTTTAGTTATTTTCTCTTTACGATTTCAGAAGTTTCGCCGTACAAACTGAAATGTTTTTTTCATAAGCCTATATAAGATTGCACATGATCACGGTTACAATATTCGTCAAAAAACTTGCTGAAAATTAATAGAATGTAATTACAAAGTTTATGAACAGTAAACTGGTTCAACTTTTGCACTTGTACGCCACCAGAATCCTTACTGTTCATCAAATCACTAATAAATTATCATGTTGTAGAGCTTCATTAAAATCATGAACTGATCAGTGTTAGACCACCATTAAAAAACCTAGAAACGACCGTCCAATGCTTCCATGTTTTCGATGGTGGTCTAAGATTGATCGGTTTATGATTTCAATGAAATTCAACGATCTCGATAACCAAAAACTGAATATCTTAGAGTTGACTTTAAATAAAAGAAAGATCCATGAGAATTTATTAATGTACATTTTGTTTACTAACTACATAAACCTGGAAGAGTAAGGTTTTATGTTTTTATTATCTCACTATGCTATTTTCCTTTTATAATAGCAAAATAAAATCTCTCTTTACAGTTATAAGCTTTCCAAACACCACATAAATATAATTTATACAAATCTTTTAACATGATTGATGACAACTGGTAATTATTTCTCAATATCATTCAGATTTCCGGTTGTTTCTTTTACGTTTACTATTTTGCTAATGTGTTCAATGAAAATCTGTATATGATTTCAAAATAATATTCGAGGTTAAACGTACTTGATTAATCAGTCAAGTTTTATCTATAAACTTACCCAAATTCATTTGTAATGGTTCAGGCAAATGACTAGTGTTACAATCTAATGCGTGAACCAAAAATGTATTACTGAGTAGATTATGAACTTAGGTGATACTGACTGAAATCTGACACGGACCATTGTCTGTTTTATGGATGAGCATCAACTATCATGGAACGTAAGTCAAGAGTTTACTCCCAACAACCTAGCATCAAAACTAGCGGCCATATTGCAACCTGACTGGAAAGAAATACTCTCAACATTAAAAAGTAGATCAACATGACATTAGTTATTCACTCACTGATCAGTCGTTGTAATTCATTAATATTTAATCAACAGAAACTACTCACCATTTTTGTCTTAGAAAAAATTGTGTAATATATGTGTCTTAAACAGAAATGAATAAAATTGTATAAAATAGCCTTAAAATTTCAATAAACAACCCAATTAGTAAATTATAATCATGGGTTTATTTGAAAGATCAGTATAAAAACTATAACTAAATCGAATACTGTCTTCTATACATGTAATGAGTGTTTAGCTGCTTTCATTTCTTTGCAAATCACATATATTTAAGATGAAACTGATTTGTATGTTAAACACCAATGATGATATTGGTTTATTCTTAGTAAATCATTAGATTATTTTTAAAATAATAGTAAAATAATAATAATTTCAAATGGTTCTTATTCATTCTCCTTTCTTTGTTGAATATGACTAATCGGTGTTTGTTTGAATAGATTATTGGCACATGTTTCTTTCTTCTTTTTTTTCTCTCGCTTATTGATACGTTGAAAACACACATGTTTATTTCTATCTTTTATTATTTTCTCTTTTTGTGTATGTGTAAATTGTGTATTTTTGTTGTCTGTAATTGTATGTGTTTCTATGTAGAATTATGAACTTTGCTTACTTACTTACCTACTATCCTACCCTATCTATCTATATAATTTTAATTGGTTGTATTTATTATTTCTAAATTATAAAACACCTGTTCTTGTATGTGTACATATTTTATTTGTTAAGTAAAAAAAGAGAGAATTAGATACTACAATCTCATCTTTTTTTAGTCATAAAATTGTTTATAGAGTTTTCTCTCATTTTCCTAGCACTTATGTGTGTGTGCGTGTTCGACCATCTATTCTAGGTCAGATGTATGTATATTCGCATCAGATGTGGGTTTTATTATTATTATTATTATCATTATTATTCCTGTTTAATAGTGTATTATATTCAATTGTCTTTAAAATGGATCATTTAAGTATGATCAGTTGCTAGCTATCCTTTCTTGTTTGGTACAATAATATGACTGGTTATCAAGAACGATTTTTATGATTGTATTTTTCTCCATAAATGTAGAGTAGAAGTAATATTTAATTAATGTTTGTAGTATCTGGTCTTTAATTAATTAGTGTCACTATATCGTATATCAGTGATTTTGGCGTTAAAGCGCTAAATTTTAAACTGCTAGATCTCATATTCCAACCTCTCAATATAGCAGTTCATCAGGAAGCTATGCAGGCGGAACATATATATTATTAAGAGACCCAGTGAATTATCGCTATGATAAATCTATTCATTCATAAAACTTTCAAATATAAACCCATCAACATATTGCCTCAAGATAAATGATGTACTCTCCACGTAATATATCTCAGCAACTTCAATCAGTGATGCTTCACAGTGAAGCGAGTTCAATAGTTGAAGGTATCTTTTATCGCGTTGTTGTTGCCTTTTGATTTCAATCATCATATTTTACTTCCACGGTTGAGATTACGTAGATAACCATAGTTAACAGTTTGCGACTCCAATTATTTAACTAAAAGTCGATTGCAGTGACACAGAGACACTCAATTTTTCATATCTTTGATTTTCAACCATAGTATTATTATTATTATTATTATTATTATTATTATTATTATTTCACACCCTTTATTCATTTTGAACCCTTTTGGGTTTTGTTCTATCCATTACACTGGGTATAATTATTTCCATGCCCTTGTTGTTTATCTTCATTGTTTCCATCTCTTAATTTTCCTGTTGTGGAGTTTGACAGAATGAACCAACTGAGTCTTCACTATTTATTTTTCTGCTTCTTGGTTTGTATTACGTCTGAGTGCTAGAGATTTATCATTTGTACGTACATGTATTATCGATCACTTAGTACAGAGATGCAAGCTTTCTTCATCGTGTGATGATAGTGATTAGTTCTAAGTTTTATCTTATTCACTTTGTTTACGATTATTTAAAAAAAATTATTGAAGAGACGGTATTGCGATTAAATTTTTTAAGGTTTATTTGTTTATACATTTTCATGATTGGCATTCCCTTAACTAATAATCAACAATAAGGAAGGAAAAGAACACAAATTATAACATCTTTGATTGATACACTCTTAGTTGAGGTTTTGAAGTAATCGAACGTTTTTTTAGCTTTGATGGGATGCCTTTGTCAGTGTTGTGTTCGCTTAGCTAAATGGTTTAATTATGTATGCCCTATAAAATGGGCGCTGATCATATTGTCCATAGACGATAGCAAACGCTTCACAAGTGAGGCTATAATTTATGGACGAACCAATAAAGTTAAAGATAGCAATTCTCGAATCATGGAGAGAAGCTCATTCATCTATATGGCTAAATAGTATTTTAGCTTTATAGCTAATGTCAGTTCGTGATGAAAACTCCAACTCTAATTCTTAATCGTAACGTAACTTCTAATCATAATTGCTCACGCTAAACTATACCCCTCTTTTGACCCTAGTAAGTAGATGTTTTTTCTCAAGATCACTTAAGCGTCTCTTTAAGGTTGTCAATAAGTTACAGTCTCGCCGCTTCACAATTAAATCATGTAGCTCCAAAACCTGAACATCAGCCAAAAATGCAATTGGGATCCTCTTGATATCAAAAATCAGTAATACAATATTTCATCTGGCATAATTCAAATCGATTTGATCAGGACGGATGAATTCAATGTCCTACTATTCGGTTATCACTTGTTCTTTTTCCATTGATGTCCTTCTACTACTTTATTTAAATGATTTTCTATTTTCATTGATTTCCTCAGTGTTTTTCTTTTGCGTGGGAAATATGTTCTGTCTATCTTCGCATCTATAAAATTAGAGAAGTTATTTATCGCTGTAAATATTGATGCTACTCTTGTTTTTTTTTAGCTTTTTCATCTGTAATTTTAACCGACCAATAAATTTTGATTAGTGTGTAGATCAGTAGTGTATCGGTTATAATCTAAACAACTTATTTGTTTAATTTATATCGTCCATATTTTAAATGTTTGGTTGTCTGAACCACTATACATTGTGACAGATATCATTGTCATATTTTGTGCAACTTATTATGCGTTTTGTTGTTCAGACACATTTTATACCTTTGTATGAATCATCATCTGATGACCTCATATTCTCTTAGTCTGACATGCTGTTGACCTTATTTTAAACCCTGAAATATGTTTTAAATTCATGAATAAGTTATCTTTAATTTTTAAGGTACCGTTTTCTCGTGTTTTGTTTTCCTAAATTATTTTCCCTCTTGTTGTTACCTATTAGTGTCTAACTTTAGTTGTTCGTATTTTGTATAGATACTTTTTATGAAATGAGGCAAAGCAGATATAAGGATAAAGGGAGTTAAAGAGTAAGGGTTTAAAATATTTGGTTTAAGTATATTCTAATACATTCATGGACCAAGATAAGCATAGTGGTTGAACATGCCTCTTTTAAATAGATAAGTCAAGTCTTTTTGAGTTAACTTCTGACTTTTGCGATGTAGATAAGTTATAATCTTGCTCCTTTAAGTAAACTATCTGGGACTTGATACAAAACCGAGAAAGCTTCATCTGTTTTAATATAATATTCACTGTTTGGTAAGTTTCTCTTCCCAAATTTATTTCATTGGATTATATTCCTTGAATAACATCTTCAAAACCTAATCTTTCCGATTACTGTGGGATATGAATCGACAATTGTATCTCTGTGCTAATGTTGTGTGGCAGCTCGAACTGATGTATGTACTTACGAAGTTCTACGTTGTTACTGACTGTTTGGTAAGTGAGGAAGGGTGATGTAATTGATTGATTTCGCTATTCGTTTTCTTACTTATCCCGGTATATGTTTACGATGACGTGAGGATTAAACTCTCTGAATGCGGCTTATGTAACTAGATATACAGGAGAAGTTGAATTGGCATATACACATGGTATATTCTATGGGGATTTTCGAATTAAAACATGACTTGCTTATCGGACAGTCTTTTTTGATTTGTTTCCTTTTCTACATGGAGAATGTGAATAATTACGGTTTCTTAAGAATCATGTAAAATGATTACTTTAATCAAAGAATAATTTGGACAGATATACCTTAAGGTAAACCGAGTACATTGTTAAAGTTTTTTCTAATTTACATTCAGAAATTGCCTTGGATATCTGATTACTTCTAAAATATATGCGTGTTCTGTTTGATTGTGATTTTACTTAACATGAAAATAACTGTTCAAATTGATTTTTTAGAGAGAAAGATAAGAAGTGAGAGATATAGAGAATATTGTAATACATCGAACAACTCTTGTCAGAGTTTCTTTTTTTTTTAAAGTTAGTTGTTAAAAATAATAATTCACCGGAGAATTAAGTTAATTCAGTTAGCTAGCAGCAACATCATGATGTATTGATACATTTTCAAGTTCCCTCTAGCAATATAATTTTATACCACATTTTCAGTACGTGATTGTGGAGACTGTTGAATTTTATTGGGATTCTGAGGTGAACTAAGATAATCATAGAAAACTTGAAGGCATTGGACGGCCTTTTCATCCTAGAATTGGTAGTGTGCATTCACGATCCCACAGACGGGAATCGAACTCATGACCTTCAATGTTACATGAGACCATCTGGCTTCTAGACCACTGATTCGGCATCCAACGGTGTTAATGTCTAACTTCAACTGATCCTCACAGCATTGTGTGACCATCCATTCTCTTCGATGGGTAACTGCTTCACACCCGACAAGGTGTAGCTTCACTGTCCACGGCTTACTACTAAGACTCCAGAAATTTTCTCTCGAAACTAGCCACACTAATGAGCAAACAATAATTGCGGGGTTATGGAGACTGTTGAATTTCGTTGAAATCATGAAGCGGTCTAAGTTAAACCACCATTGAAAACTTGGAAGCACTAAACGGGAGATAGTCGCTCAATGTCATGAATTGAATGAAGTTAGTCATCAATACTATCGGATGCCGACACACTGGTCTAAATGTCAAGTGTTTACACGCGACACCGAAGGTTCTGAATCCGATTATCATCTGGGGGATCGTGGATGTTCACTGTCGAGGAGTCTCATGCTAGGACGGGACGGCCATCCGGTCCTTCTAGGTTTTCAATGGTTTTCTAACAGATCGGTTCATGATTTCAGTGAAATTATAGTTCATTATTTAGATATTGTTAGTTGACAAAGGATTTTTGTTTTTAAATAATGACCACCTTGTAAATACACTAAATGTACTTATATATGTTATCATTAATGTATATAGACTTAATACATAAGTCATTTTACTATTAAGTGTAAAAATGTATACATAAAGTGATATTTTGAAAAAAAAATGAAGAAAGAAGAGCACAATCAAAAATATAAAGGAACACAACTATGTGAGACTTATTTCAGTTCGGGGGATTTTTCTGACTTTTATAAAGAATTTTGGAAGAAAATGACATCAAGATTGTCACACTACCATTTTGAGGTATTCCTTATAATGCTTAAAGTCAGTGAGTCTACAGAATCTTTACGACCCAAGTTGAGAATTCATGATGAACTTACATATTTGTTGGATGCCGTCTCAGTGGTCTAGTAGTTAAGCATTCGCTCACGAGACCAAACGTTCTGAGTTCTATTCGTGCGTGTAGGATCGTGGATGCGCACTGCTATGGAATTCCATATTAGGACGAAACAACTGTCTAGTGCTTCCAGGCTTTCAATGGTGGTCCAACTTTGATCGAATCATGAATTCAACTGTTAAAAAATGTATATGTGTGTGTATTTAATAGAGATGAGTCATACCCTACCTTATTTGTTTCACATACGAAAGATAAAATTATATCTTGAATATTCTCCTCCACTAGTTGTTTTTCATCGTAGTGAATTTTTAGGAATTATTAGTAACCCCAGTTGATAGATGTGCAGACAAACAATTGATTATTCGTTTTTTTTCTTTTTTTTTAGTTTTAGCTTCTCAATATTTAACTTGAGAAGCGAAAACACGTAGGTGAATTTTTTTAATGAAACATTTTTTATATCTGGAGAATTAATCTTTGTTCACATTTTTCCTACTTGTTTTTGGTTTTGGTTTTTTTTGGCATTGGTGTGTTTGTCGTTTATGGCTATTTATGTCTATCTACCCACCTACCTACCTACCTGCCTGCCTATCTACCGGTTTTCATATTTTCTATACATTTCAATTTTCAACAGTTTTTTCTAATTTTTACAATTGGTTTATTCAGATTTTTTTAAAATTATGATATAGTCTAAAATTCGACACTATCGTTTCTCTGTCTGGGTTTGGTAAAATCAAAATTTATTCCATCAATTTAATGAACTGTTCATTGTAACCTAACTTTCACATTGATAATTAAACATTATTTCATTTATTAGTTTATATTTTTGACTGTTGAGATAGTAATTTCAGTGAGAAATGAAATCAGATAAATTGTAACTCACAGATTTATGGTTTAAAATTTGTTTTTATTGAAGTTAGATTCAATATCTGTGTTGTGTCATTAAGATGTCATGAAATGTGACTAAAAATTACTATGCGTAAGTTCTTACTTGATAATTAAAGTATATTGACCATTTTGGATAATATTTTATATCATCCGTGATCAGGTTATATATCTATATATATATATATAATTACTTGAATATAATTGTTAAATATTGATTTGGTATTTCATCCAGGAGTTGATACGATTACCTGATCACGGATGATGTAAAATATTATCTATATAAGAAAAATCTAACACTTTCTTTTGGTAACCTCACAGTAGTTGTGCAGTTTTGTTTAATTTTATTTGAATTTATTCTTATATTTTTCAGCCTACCTGTCAAATTGTTACTCTCCTCTGTCAGGAGCTTATGCTGAAACTCGTTACATTTCATGTACAATACCAAATTCAAACATTGGTTTTCATAAAGTCGGTTCTTGTTTTGTTAATAGTCAGGCGAATAATTGCATTGAATTGTCTCCACCATGTTATATAAAACAATATCTCTCTCCAACTGGTCAAAATATAACAGAATTTCATGATACAATGTGTATGGTTAGTGCAGAACATAGTCTCAGTCCATTAGGTAATGCTTTCCCAAATACTTCAGTAATTATTAACCCTGGACAATTTGATTCACCTGTACGCGGTAAAAGTTGTCAATTATTCACCGATAATAGTGGAAATGGTGAAAGTAGTAGTGGTTTATCTGCTACAAGTGGTTTGGGGAGTACTGCTATAGGGAGCGGAAGTGCTAAATATCCTGCATGTAGACGACCTGATGATATACATACTGTGTAAGTTTACATACGTCTTTTCATATTGATTCATTTTTACTACGTTAGGAATAATTTTTATAAGTTAGGCGATAAGGATACTACTGCTACTACTACTACTAACAATATTAGTAATAATGAGTTGGTTGTTGTCATTAATAACAGTAAATAAGTGCCATATTTATATATGGTTTGGGCACTTAATATTTTTTTATTATATTTTATGTTCATCAACTACACAAATTTGGTAACCATCCTCGTAAAACATTAGTTTTACCCTCGTTCAATTTTGTAACATTTCTAAATAATTTTTCCTCATTTCTTATTGTCCGCATACTTTCATACAGGCGAGTTATAATTGTCTCTTTGTAATTGAAGTCTAATTTTCCTAAGTTTTATTATTCTTTTTCTACCAATAAATTCATCAGGATTGATCATCTCTTGATTTGATAGTTCATTTAAGAGCATATGTTTATGATGTAGTGTTTTTTTTCTTACCTATCTATATTAGTTTGATTCTAAACAAAAGATAGCACTTTTTCAAGTGAATATTTATATCTAATTCAGTTTGATGGTTGTGTTCGATAATTCAGTGTTAAGGATTATAAAAATAAAAACATAACACTTCAAAGGATACAGTGGAAACTGATATTTAAGAATGATTTAACTTAGGATAACCGACTAATAATTGATTGTGGAAGCTACATTTTTCAAAGTGCCTAATGGTTAAGTAAATTTGATGATTCCATGATTTCAACCCTTCCTACCTTTTTCTCTTATGTTCTCCTGAAATGAATGTAAGTTCATTTTTTGACTAGTTGTGAATACACACCGAACAATCCTTGACCTTCACTTATACGGAAAATTAGCAACCAATTGACGACAAAGATCATATGAAAGTTTCAATTTGAAAAATAGCATTCACACTTACCGTTGCTTGTAAGATTTTACGATTGTTAACAAAAATTGAGTGATCCTATGATCGCCTTAGCAATTCTATACACATTTCCTAATAACAATTTATTCGATTTCATCTCATTAATGGTCAGTGACGTAAGTTTATTATACTTCTAAATGCGTAGGAAATTTGTGGAACACACTGTCGAGGAATAGTCTTAGGTTACAACGAAAGGGCTGTTTAATGCTTCTTAAATTTTAATTTGGTCTGTAGCTGTACAGAACGTTGTAGTAATCACTAAGCGTTAGTATATTTACATTTTGACATTTCGTACTGAATAATAACTTCATATACACTATAAAGTGTCATTTTTTGTTTAAGAATTATTGTCACAAAAAATTCTCACTTTAATTATCTTTTAGTAATGGACTTACATCCGGCAGCGATTCATCTAATTGTTCCAACGCACACATGAGTATAGTAATGCATCGGAATAACCAAAATACATTGCCACCATACTTTTCTCCGGCAGAACAACGACGACAACAAATAGCTCAGTCTATTTCGAAATCTGTTCTACTCTCATGCAATACATCCTGTTGTTCTTCAACATCCTCTTCATCTACTAATTCTAAGAATGGAATTATAAAAAAATCGGAACATTATTCAAGTCATCCGAGTAATAATAATAAAAATGATAGTAATGCTGATGATTTGTCAAAATCGTTTCAATATGTTATACCTGAAAATATTTCATCTAATAATAATTCAATGCAGTTATCATCGTTATTCTGTAGATATGGTGAACTTCCACAACAACAGCGGTCAACGAATTCACTTGTTGTATGTAATCCAGTTATCTCTAATAGTGCAAATTTTCATGAACCTTCTATGCTATCAACACCAACCTGTAATCATTGTTTTACTGAATCAAATGTTAATAAAAATGAAATTAACAAATCATCATCATCACAGATGATGCCAACAACTGTTCTGGTGTCCAGTCATGATCTAAGTAAAGCGACTAGTTCCAGTACTACTACTACTACTACTACCACCGGTACTGTGACTAATAATAATAATAGCGTTGGTGCACATTGTAGAACTATTCGGACATGATTACTTATGATGCATTGAAAGTGATATGATCCCATGTATACTCAAAGTTGTTCATCTGTATTCACTTAGAATTTTGTGTTTCATTAATTGATTAATTCATAACTTCATTATTTACGAATCACCTCTCCCCATTTATATTTATTCATCTATTTTCAATTGTTTTTTTTTCATGATTTACCCAAACATTATGCAACTCATATCTGTTATGTATACTGATGGATTATGTATTTCGAAAATTTTGCACTCATGATTAGTATTTCAGATCTCAATATTTGTACTGTACAATCTGTTTTTAACGTTAGGATATGATATTATCATTTCCACTATTATTTATTTATTCTTATATACTATTGACTAATTTGAAATCATCGTCTATTTCTATATTTCTTTTTTGATAGTTATGTATATGATGTTGTGTTTTTGAACTACATGTACTTAGTGGGCGCTGAAGATATTGCCTAAGATGACAATAAAAGCTCTGTCTTGCTTAGATAACTCAATACTATTAAAAACATCTACCTATGCTGCACATCTTTATCATATAGTAAAACTACTCTGTGCTTTTTCCGTTGATTGTAAACTGAATTCTTAATATTCAAATGACTATTGTTTTTACTATGCATCATTCATGATACTATTACTAATATTGTTACATTTACGACTGTGTTAATAATATGAATGCTATAGTATATTGTTATGCAGTGTTTGTATTGCATTTGTTTTGTTTGTTGATTGTATTAGTGAATCAACTTCATTCGAAGTCTTTTCCTCACACTAGACGTCTTTGTATCTTTTCTACTCTCTATTTAAACTGCTAACGTGGAAATACCATTATGTTTGATGCTAATTATAGATATAACTTCATGTACTTGTAATTGGACAGTCGTATACTTCATTTTTCTATCTGAGATTTGACAATTTTGACATGAAGTCTAAATTTTTTGTACACATTTATTTACTATACATAAGAAGAAATAACTAAATAATGAACTTGACTTAAGACTAAACGGTTCGTTCATTTTGTTGTTGTTCTTGTCTCTTCTCTCTCTCTCTAGTTTTATTTTACTTTTCAACAGTTTGTTCATTTGTGTTTTTATCTCTTTAGGTGTACATATCTATTGTCTATTTATCTTTGTATTCATATGTCGACCATGTGAATTTAATAAATATTTTGCCTAGATAGTGATTTATTTATTTAGAAGAATTTATTCAGGCATTTTAAACATAAAACAAAATGAATCATTAAGCAGTTAATCTTATTCTAGGATAGAAATTCTATCAATATGATTATCCTCTTGGTACTTTCGAAGAATCCATTACTCGATTGGTTGTTAACTATTAATTTATTGAGTATTATTTATGTGTTATTTATTTATTTATTTAGTATTAAATTCACTAACGTTATAAGTATGGGAATTTAATTAATACTCATTTCAGAGTGAATCTGTTCATAAAAGTGGTTTTTTAAACCTACCGTATATTGTACACAGGTTAGGATTTACCTCATGACATTCTGTGGCTCAGTGATATATAGAGTCCAGTTATATAAATTGGTCTTTCATCCAATGGTCAATGCACAGAGAAAGTGATTTAATTAAGACTGATTATATGAGGAAACTATGCTATTCATTGAGCTTCAGGTTCAGGACAAAAAAGAACATTTAAATAACAGCCTAAAATCAACAGGCAACATATTCATCTTCAGTTGACTTATCTTGTTTGGTTTTTCGTAACGTTATATTTTATTTGAGTATAACAGTAAATGAAGTACACAACTACTGTAGGTAGGCGCGTAACATCATGGTATTAGGGTAAATTATATGGTTTATCTGCACATAGTAAAATGTCGAATAATTAGTAAAGGAATCAAATTGATGATGATAAAGCTGATAAACATTCATCAAATAGTCCCTTACATAAATTTTGATAGAGAAATGAAAAGACAAAATTGATCTGAAAAATGCGTTGTGTTTGGGTTATACATTTCGGACACTCTGGTCACATATTTATCAAAGCGTCTATATACAAAACTAACAAAAGTCAACTAACTGAGAATCCAAATAAATGAGCGAAAAACGTTAATATAATGTGGGATGAGTAGGAGATTGTCACATCACCCTAGGCCGTGGCTTGAAGACTACCTGGAGTGATTAAAGGTTATATCAAATCGTTCCTACGTAGGTTAAAAGACTGAGTTTCCCTTCAAAGTTGGGAAATCCCTACATAAAAGTGTTCGCGCTTGACTTTGACAAATTACTTGATATTTTGTCTTTCATTATACGTTTCCTATAGACCATATACATTTGAAAAATTACCATGTAATGAATTATTCTGATTACGCATTCTTGATTACCCTCTATTTTGTTTATTAGCAAGTAATTCGTTATCCAGTTGGTCAGATAAATATCCATTTTGTATTCGTCTATTTCTGAATTAGATCTTATTAATTATAAAGTAAAAAAGTGAGGCTGATATGTTACATATTAAGAGGACTTGTCTGATATTTTAATAACACTGATGATACAAATCAGTATACTAAATTACTTACTTAGACCACCCATCAGCATTCTCCGTCGAACTTTGTTCTGCGCAATTCTTTCCAGGTGCTTCCAATTCCCGACTCAATGAGTTTTTGGTCTTCATCTCTTCCGTTTCCCTTATGGATTCCAAATTAGCGATTGTTTCGTGATGCAGTTTGATGATTTCCGTAACGTATGTTCCTAATTTCCTATTCAGCTGGAAGTTAGCTTTTTCTATTCCACAGTAGGCTGTTGCTGATGGTATCCGGTCAACGGATGTTGATTATCTTGCGTAGAAAATTGTCTATAAATACTTGTACCTTTTTGATTATGGTTGTGATAGTTCTCTAAGTTTCAGCAACATGTTCGGTTAATGTCACGAAATAGTACAAAATATTTCCCAATCAAAGTACAATACTAATGAGTCATGTATTTTTTTTCAACAGCTTACTATTTTATCCTGCACAACTAACCAAATTTATCGCTATTCAACGATTTACTATATAAGTGATGTTTTTCAGCAGTTGTACAGAAGAGAAATTTAGTTAAAATGAATTAATGGTTGGTGTACAATTCTTCCTGATAAACTTGTAACCAGCTATTTTCAACTTTTAAATCATAAGATATCAGTTAGATTTTCTTTAACTCAGCTATAATGTAATACAATTTAAATTGTGAAAATTACTTGTGGATGGATGTTATAAGTTTTAATTGTAAGAATGGAATTATTATCAGCTCCATTGAGAAGTTAGTTAAACCGTAAAACACTAACAGCTTTAGAAGAAACAACTGTTCACATAATGACGCTTAGTCATAGTTACCGAAATGACAATACGTATTTTAAAAAAAATGCTATATATTATGTTATTAAATTTAGCATTAGAATGATATGCTCAATTTCTTTCTAAAATATGTACTGTGACAAAAATTTCAATGGTATAGAAGTAGAAAATGTGCAACAACTTCCTCAATTCTAAATGTTTGTGAATCATCCTATCGTTGACTTTGCGGTGTAATATAATTTTGTGTATATGTGAGTTCATTTGAAATATGTATTTCCGTAGTTTTACCAAGAAATCACAGGAAGTAATAATGAAAAGATAAGCATTTAATTATTAAGTTGAATGAAAGTGGTAAACATGAATTACACATGCTTATATTTAAATCTTTTTTCATTATTTATATCATACTTACTTTGTTAAATTTTTACGGAATCTTTTGTGAAAATTTAGTATTAGTCACAATGGTATGGACCGTTACTGTCATTGAAATAAATAGTTTTCATCATGAACTAGTTATAGCTGGATAGTAATAAAAGAAAACGTCACATCGGACAGTAGCTTTGTTTCAGCCTGAAGCTCTGTTGAAATACACTAGTATAATCCTATTGAAATTTTAATCTGCATTTTTCAATGAGTATGACATTTTTAAATCAGTGCATGGTTCTGAGCTAGGTTGAAGCAGCTGCCCCACATATCATAGTTTACAGCAGTCTTCCAGCCGATGTCAGTTCATGACGAAACCAGATTCAAATAGTATTCCTGATCAGTTTGTCAAGTTCATGTTCTCTACTATTTCAGACAAAAGCGACGCATTTCGATTGGTTTAGTGTAGAAAGTTATTGCAATTTTACTAGTCTACAACATTATCAATATCAAATTCCTTTACATATACATTCATAAAGCTGTTTCTACTGGAACCAAGGGCTAGGCAAGGTAATATTACGTTCAGCTTAGCTATCAATTAACTTACTTGTTTCATTTTCATTAAAGATATATTATAAAGCTGGTTTACAGGTAGGCTTTATAATGTAATGTGAAGTCGGAAGTAATTGAATCATTGAGTTAACAAACTTTTCTTGGAATTCACACTACTTTACTGATGAGTACTAGAAAGTATGAAATCTAATTCTAAGGTTTCTGACTAATATTACCTACAACTAAAAGAAGTACAGTATTGTTTATTCATAAATTTATTTAAAGAACTGATCAAATGAAGACAGGTACACCGTATGATGTTAAACTGAATTCATTACTATGATATAAATCCTCAGCATAATTCATAAACAATAAACCCTTATGAAGTTAACTTCAAAGCTAAAAAGTTTCTGCTCTAATTTCTAAAATTAAACGTGAGTTTTACAGAATTATCCACTTTTTAATTACACACTTCAAAAATTTAATTAATAGGACTGACAAATTGTTTTAACTACTGGATTATAAATATCATAAGATTAATGTAAATGGAGAAACATGAATAAAGTTAATTAAGGATAAGCCTTAAAACCCCTCTATGCTATGATGATACATTTTATCGACTTCGTTAAAGTAGGGGCAACATTCTAACTGAATGATTCTGTGATTGTATGTACCTGAAATCTATGGTTTATTGATTTAAACATTTAAATTTTAACAGTGTTTTGAATTTCCAAATAACTCAGTATACTCTGAATCAGACTGCTATGTAGTATCTATATTCTTC